AAAGAGTGTTGAAATTTAATTTGGAAATACCAAAAATTACAAATTAAGATAAATAGGAAATTGAGAGAATTTCTTAAAGGGAACTATCATTAAAGAATGGTCCCAAAATATTGTGTCATGCTAGAATCTCAAACACACAACTCTCACCTCAAAACTCAACATCTCAAATATGAAATTTGCAAGACTGGTTAAAGCTTAACTCATGTTTACAAAACAAGTTTGTAAAATGAGGATTATATAAACTATTGTAATTTGATCTTTACTCCATGTAGAATCTCCTATAAAAAGAAGTGTGAATTAATAATTTTATAGAAATTAATAAGGAAAAAACAAAATCAAAAAATTTCCAGAAACAAGTAGTGCAACAACAGTATAACAAAACAGGGATGAGGGACCATAGTAAGAGAAAATACTGCCAAAAGTGTAAGAAAAGTATGATGAGAAGAATGATAAAAGGTAGAGAGGATGCAGAGAAATACCACAACCCAGAAGCGGAGTGAGTAATGAGTTAGTTAGAGTTTTATCTCTATATCACTTCGCCGCATAACAACTTCAACTAGAAACAATTTCACACTTCAAATAAAAGATAAAAACTAAAAAATAAAAAATTTGAATTTCAATAGAGGTGTTTGTTATTAATAGGGAAAATTTATTTTATTAAATATAAATTAGTTAAAGAGATAGACTTTTAAAACTAAAAAATATCATAAAAATAATTATTTAAATCAAAATCCGTCTTCATGGACTTATACGTGATAAATTTATAAAGAGATATCAATCCTTCACCTGTATCAGTTTTTAGTTTTCACTTGACTCCTAATTTTTTTAAAATAAGTTATATATAAAAATAAATATTATATTTGAATGTTTAAATTATACATAAAATTTGAAAAATTAATATTTTAAATATATGAATTATATTTTAATTTTATGATAAATATTTGATATTATAATATACAAGTTTATTTTTATTTATTTTTATAATATTTTAATATAATTCATAAATAATTATAATAAATAAAAATCAAATTATATATGAAATTACAAAAACCTCTAAAACCTCTCTTGTTGAAAAACAAACTCATAAAAGTACTTTCATTCAAAATAATTGTTCATGTTTTATATATCAGTTAATTTATGATACATAATTTATACTGTAATACAAAATTATTTTTATTTATTAACAATTTATTTTAAAATATTAAAATATAATTTATAAATAATTATAATAATTAAAAATCAAACTAGATATTAAGTTAAAAAAATTCTTAATATCTATATCTTTTATAATATAATTCATAAATATCAATTATAAGTGAAATTTACAAGATTCAGTTGCTACAATAATATAATCGTTCGTTGATTTACTTACCTTTTATTTTGTTTTTATATATATTTATACTCTATATTGTTATGTATAATATATAGTAATATATCTATACCATATATTGCTATCTATAATATATAGTAATATATATCTATACTCAATATTGGTATTTCTATACAATCTATATTATATATAACTTCCAATATATATACAATCCCTACTATATATAACTTATCTTTGATTTCTACACTTTTTTAAAAGATATTTATACTTTTTTATTATATTTTTTTTATGTCATATATTTTATGGGAAAAATAGAAGGAAAAAAAGTATAAAATAAAATAATTATTATCTAATTTATTAATAATTATTATTATTTTATTTTGTAATCATTTCTATTTAAGATTATTTTACTTTTTCTAATTATACATTATTTTGTTTGATATGTATATTGTAATTATTATTATTTCTCTTTTTTATTTTATATTATTATTAAATAAAGTTATAAAGACACAAAGTATCTCAACTACACTACTATATACAAAAATGAATATCTCCCTTTAGTTTTAATATTTTTTTAACATTTATATTTATTATATATTATTTTTTCCACCATCATAACTCTTAAAGGCAAAATAGATAATAAGAAAAATTATGTATAAAAATTAATTATTCACTCTATCAATAATTAGTGAGAATGAAATACTTTGTATCTCTATAACTGTCGATACTTGATATAGAACATGACTATTTTAACCTTTTATATAGAAAAAAAATAGAACATATTCTTCGTATAATAATAAAGGATAAAAAGGAAAAAATGAAATGTGTACATCAATGCCTAGCTACGACTTTATCTATTATTATAGATAACTACTCTCTTAATTTATAACCACCTTTTAGCTTTTAATTATTTTAAAATTATTTTACTCTATTCTAATTATATATTAACTCATTGATTTACATAATCTAACCTCTATTATTTTTATTTTTATTATGTTTAAACAAAATATATAAAGATACAAAAGTGTCTTGACCATTTAACTTAAGTAATTTATACTTCTATACTATTAATAAAGGGGTTGTTTTACTTGGTCTACACATTTTTTGTCAATTTTTTTCCTTATATATAACTCCTCAAATTATTCTTTCTCTTTCCACAATTTTTAAAAAATTATTTTTACAATTATGATTATGCAAAAACTACTAAAATTAATTAATTATAAACCACTCACTTTTATTTTATTTATTTTTTTTATAAATTACACAAAGGCACATAGTATCTTTTTTACATTAATAATGCGGTTGCTTTATTTGGTGTATATATTTTTTTTTCAATTTTTTTCCTTACTCCTTCTCAAATTATTCTCTCTCCCCACGATTTTTTAAAAATTATTCTTACAATTGTAATTATTCAAAATCTACTGATATTTTAATTATTAACCACTAACTTTTACTTTATTTATATTATAATTTTTAAATTACAAAAAGGTATAAATACCTCTTTTACATTAGTAATATATAATGCAAATACTTTCACTCCCAACTATTTTTTGATTTTCACTTTATTTTTGATAGTTTTACCCTTAAATGTCCTTACTCACAATTTCTAATCAACAATTATCTCTACATTCACTCATTACTTACATAACTTACCTTTCCCTTTTTATTATTTAAATAAAATATGCGAAGAGATGAAATATCTCTTCTCCACTAGTATAAAAAAATATAAATGTAGAATATATTTTTATATAAATTCTATTTATTTATATATAATATTTTAAAAAAATTAATGCTTAAATTTGTTTTTATAATAACAATGGTTGTTTTCCACTTTAATAAGTAAGTTTTACCCATACATGTCCTTATTTATTTTTATTTTTTTTGCATTTATAAAGAATCTTTCTCTCATTTTTACCTGTTGCTTCTGATCAACAGTTATCTCACATTCACTTATTACTTACTAACTTACCTTTCCTTTTTTATTTAAATAAATACACATAAGCACAAAGCGTCTCTTCTCTATTAATATAAAATAATTTAATGTTGAATATGTTTTTATATAAATTTTATTTATTTATATATATTATTTTAGAAATTTTTAATGTTTATATATATTTTTAATTTTTGTAGAATGGTCAAGTTTTAATTTTGGTCACTACAACTTTTTTTTCTAATATCTGTAAAAAAAATTATCTTCTTAAAAAGAGTTACTTTTTCTTTAATTTTTATAAAATATATTTCTTTGATTTTAATCTCCCTAAAATTTAAAGAAATTATTTTTATCCCTAATAACTATTTAAAATAATTAATTTTCCTATAGAATAATTTCAAATTTTAAAATAATAAAAATAAAATAAAAATTTACTCATTTTTATAAAAACTATAAAAACATGTTTAAATTTTTGTATATATATAATATATTTAAGTCATTGAGTACAGATAAAGTAGATGTATGTCAAAAATTAAACAGTAGGCTCATTTATTTATTTATTTATTTTTAAAAGAAGAGATTAGTCTTCTATACTTATTTTTAGGGGTGGGCAACTGGCGGGTTCGAGTGAAAAATGTTCAACCCATTATAAATCAATTTTGGAAAAATGTGACCTATATCCGACCGACTGAGCTTTCGGTTTGAGGCGGTTCGGGTTGCAACGGATTCAGATTTGGGCGGGTGGGTACAATCGGGTTTGAGATTTTTTGTGGACCAAGTTATTTTAACGAAGGTGAAGCTTAAAACGGTAAAAAGATATTTTTAAAACAGTGTACAAAAATAGAATGAAGGTAACAATGGATGATGTAAGTAGATTCGTAAATGAAACATTTACAAACTAAAGAAGCAAAAACAAAAGATAACAAAATCCATAGTTGTTACATGCAAAAGAAATGTAAAGTTAAATTAAAAAATCTATAAGAAACCACTGTCGCACAAGTTATACTCAAAGTGGAGATA